AAATAAATATGATGGAATTAGAATAAGAGTTCCAAATTGATAAAGACCTTATCAAGTTAGACTTTAGTGCACAGCCAATAAAGAAAAAAATGGTTTTTTAAATCATTCTCTAAAATCGAGAAAGATCGTACCAGGGAATTATGGTACGAGGAGATGGTAGAATTAAAGGAAAACACCCCATTTTGTGATTGGTTTTCAAAAAAAAACAATTAAAAAATATAAAACCTCCAACGGTAGAATTTGAACTATGCGTTGCAGAAAATCTATCTAAAGCTTTGAAGACAACGACAACAGGGAAATTTGTGGAATCAATTTACCCACCATTATAAGCAATAAAAATAGGAAAGGACGAGCTAATAGCCAGTCCAATAAAAAATTCCACCACAATAAAAGAATCCGAAAATTTTATTCTAGAACATTGTTCTCAAATTATAGAACAAAATAATTATTACCAATGTATGCCTTAATGTTCTAGGCAAACAAACCAATAGAATAGAAATATTAAAACGGAATGTGTCTTAATAAATCGTTTCTACATATTAAAATGGAATATGCCAATATGGCATTTTTATGCTTTATAGTTTCTTTTCAAAGTCACTTTTATTTCAAAGTCACCATCTACTATCTCTCTTATCCTCATTAATTATGCCATTAACCATCTCCATTACTCCATTAAATTTCACAAGAATCATTAGCTTTATCTATACTCTAACAATCAACTCTATATTTCAAATTATAAAAACCTCACCATGTCATCAGAGGCTTATGTGACTGTTGCCAACACAAGACTCCTAATTCATGTTGGACATAACAAAAACACTTATACCAAAATTTCCCTTCAATGCTGGGTGATTGGAAAATAAAAAAGGGTTTTTAGTTTCTCTCTCTCTCTCTCTCTCTCTCCCCACTCTCTCATTCTCACAATCGTCTCTCTTTGCTCAATGATTGTGTGATTTGAAATAAATACAAATGGTTTTTGGTTTATGTATTTACGTTATCCCTATCAATTTCTATCATTTTCGCTCTCTCTACCTATCGTTTTCCCTCAATCTCTCTCTTTCTCTTTCTTGGTCAATTTGTCATTCTCCCTTAATTTTTATTGTTCTCCCTCTATTTCTCTACTTCTCGTTCTTTTTTTTTTCTTATACACTCATATGGTATTAAACAGATCGTATACAAATACATGAGACCAACTTGGTATGATTCAAAAATCATTACACCAATTTGATAAAAATTCACAATAAACTCTTGGCTATAAAATTTACACCAATTTGATAGAAATTTATAACTTGAGTGTATAAGTGGTTGGTTACTTTATTTTTTTGGTAATGGTTTGATTAATACTGTATAAGTTTGTAAGGAAAAAAAAAAGAGCGAGAGAGAAAGTGGGAGAAAGACTAAGGGAACGATAGAGATTGAGGGAGAAAGAGCTATTGACCGAGATGAAGAGTGGTGGATAATAATGAAAGAGATTGAGATTGAGACTGAGATAGAGTGAGTGAAAGAGAGGGAGAAAGTATGTGTGTGTGAGAGAGAGAGAGAGAGAGGGAGGTTTCACTTTGGTTACAAAACGAAGCTGGGAGACTGGGAGAGACAAGCGAGATATTGAAAGATGACTATAAGAATGAGAGAGAAGGGAGGGAGATTGGGAGACAGATAGAGCGGGGGAGAAACTGAAAACATATTTTTGGTATAGGCTTTTTGTTGTCCAACATGGATTAAGAGTCTCATTTTGGCAACAATCACATAAGCCTCCAATGACATGGCAGAGGCTTTTATAATTTGAAATATAGAGCCAATTGTCAGAGTTTTGTTGGTTTCTATACCAAGTTGCAACATAATTTTAAATGTATGACTTTGACTATAATTTTCCATTTAAATTATATATTTCATTTACATTATATAACATAATTTTTGCTTATCACACTTAATTTTTGTTTGTCTATGATATGATTTGACCAAAACCACTATCCCACCACCAAAAAAGAAAAATAGTTTGATTGCTAGGTTGACATTAATTTTTATATTACATTTATATAATTGACAAAATTATTTATTATGTATAACACTTATTTTTGTTCAATATAACGCATGCATAATATTAGAAATGTACCCAATATTTTATTTTTTATAAATATATAACATTAGTTATGTGCCCAAATTTTGCTCTATCTTTTTATTTTTATTTTTTTGTGATTCTTTGTATTTTCTATTTTTAAATTTGTTACTATTTGACTATGACATCGTTTCACCTATTGGTAGATTTTAAATTTGGCATTCCGTTTTCATCATCAATCAAAATACTTATTAAATTTAATACTTACCCACCACTGGGAGGGAAGAAAATGGTTTGTTTTCAAAATATTTATTTTTATGCTATTAAAATTAATATTGTCGATTTAATTACAAAAATTTAATAACGATAAAAATATATCTTAGATATAGGATTTAATGATAGATAAGAGAAAAATATTTTTATTTCCAATTGGTTTAAAATTTGACATTCAATTTCCATCATTAATTAAAACATTCTTATTTATCATACTTATTATTGTTTAATATATATGTTAAAAATGTTCCCAATTTATTTTATTTTCTAATTTTTTCATTTTATTATTTGACTGTGGCAACATAGATTGGCTCATTTGACTAGGGGTGAGCATTGGGTTTATTCGGTTAAAAGCAAACCGAATAAACCAAAATTTCTAAAACTGGAATTAAAAAAAATGAAAGCCAAACCGAAAACCAAATTATAATAAAACCGAAATAACCGAACCAAAATTTTTGGTTCAGTTTTTAGTTATTTTGATTAAAACCAAGTTTAATTAATATATACATAATATTATATATTATAACCTATAATATATATTATGAAATTTAATTTCATTATAATATATTATATATTATGTATTATATAATAATTTTTTGTTAATTCTGGTTTTTTGGTTAATCGAATTACCGAAAAAACCGAAACCAAAATTTTTGGTTTTAATCGAATAATGCTCACCCCTACATTTGACCCATAATGGTTTAATTTTTTACTACCACATAGATGAAAACACTATTTTTTTAGGTAAATTTTAAAAGTATAAGCTTTTTATGTTATTGGAATTATTCATTTATTAAGTATGAATTTAATATATATAACTTAATGATGAGAATAAATAAAGATGACTTAAATATATGATTCAATGAACATGAATGCAAGTTAATAACTTAAATATTGGATTTAATGAGAGGGAGTTTAATGCATTGGATATCTTAAAAATTACATCTTTTCAACTCATTTAATATCAATAACCTATTACCCTACTTGCCCTCGTCTTTTATAAATAGATCTCAATATAGAGGGTAAATTTTATCTTAAACAAATTCATAAATATGCTTGAGGCCATTCGTGGTTTTTAAAGTATTATAGATCTATATTCATTTCATTGAACTATATTTTTTTGGGGGGAAATTCCTGATTAATACACTATACTTTGGACCTATTGCCACTTTGATCCTTGAACTTTAAAATTCAACAATTCAATACCCGAAATTTTAAAATGTGTCAATCCAATACAAGCCGTTAAGTGGTATTTGGAAATATACAAATGCTCTTTGAGCGTCATCTATTTCTCTTTATCAACCATCCAAATGTCGATAAAAAATGAGCAGTCTCAAATCATTGTCTCTTTTATTCAATAAAGTTTGGGTCAGGTATCGAAGGACATTTGTGTCTTTTTAATTTCCACTTAATGGATGGTTAACGAACTGGTTAGCGTAAAAGTACTGGATTGACACGTTTTGAAAGTTTAGGTATTGAATTGTCACGCTTTAAATTTTGGGGATCAAAGTGGCACTAGGCCCATAGTGTAAGGTACTAATCGGGAATTTTCCATAATTTTTTATATGTTAGATATATTTACATTAAATTGTAATTGTTAATAAAGATTATTTATATTGAAATCGAGATATTCAATGACATATTATTACACTAAATAATCTAATTCTATTTAAAATTATAATCCATTTATATTCCATTTGAAAATAATAAAATTATATATTAACCATAATAAAAATAATGTAGCAAGTTACTCAAATCAAATAATTATGAATTATTGTTATTGATAAAAATATTTTTATCAATATAATAAAATACTAAAATAGATTAAAAATAATATCAATTTAAAATTAATATAAAACTAATACAAAATTATCTAATAATTATTAGTATATAATTAATTTTTACTAATTTAAAACCAACTTAAGTTATACTAAAAAATAAAAACTTAATATAGTTATTTAAATTGTATAAGGAATTTAAATTTAATAAAACTTAATATACTTAATTTAATTTAACTTTTACCAATTTAAAAAATTAATATAAAATAGTAATTTTAAATATAGTTTAATTATAAAAACCTCATTGGGTTTTCTAACAATCATATGAAACTCCATAGTGTTTTGACCTTAACAAAAACCTAGCTTATTATTTTGAAAAAGAAGGTGCAAATACCTTTCTTTCGTCATCATTCCAAATAAAAAATGTTGATGTAATCAGTTAATTTTACTTCATTTCATCATCTTTGCTTTATTTTGTCCAAGAAAAATAATGAGAATTATTCTTTAAAAATTACTAGCAAAATAAATTAATAAAAGGTAAAATTAAAACTTTAAATTGTGTATGATAATGCATTCACAATAATAAGTTAATTTTGTATTTCAATGTCTTTGTTACGTAAAGGCCTATAAGGAGGCATTTGCACTTTTTTATAAACCGAAAAAAATAGCATTAAGATGTAAAAAACAATATCAATTTATATAAAGAATAAGAATTGGACACTCTCGTTAAAGCGCAACTTAAATAAATATTGCTTGATTAAAAATATTAGCATATAAAATAATTTTTTTGTGCATTGCATGTAACTCATAAATAAAGAAATAGCAATTTATTTCCACATCGGTGAATTATAATGATACCACTGATGTTAATTAAATATGAGCGGTGATCAAATTGAGCGACGGGTGGATTAGGGTTCCCACCAAATTCTGAATAACGGATGATACAACATACAAGCGCAATATCAGCTCAAACCTTTTCTGACATTTCTTTTTTCCCGCTTTTAAACCGTCGACTTGCAAATAGCAGTTTTTAAAACCCTACTACGGCTACCACAGTACCGCTTTCAGGGTTTTTAACGAACAGAAAAACCGATACTTTCTCGTCATTTTTCCTGTTTTGTATGTAAATTGGGAGTCTTCAAGTTCTGAATGGCGGTCTTCGAGCATTTTCAGAACTTGTACGACATCAGGTTGAAGCCTCGGTTGCTTCGTTCACTTATAAGAGATCGTGTTCCCGACGAGAAACACCCATTTTCTAAACCTTCAGAGCTATCTATAGTGGTTTCAGCAGTCAAAAACCATGGGCTTCTATCTGAATCTTCCAGAGAAGCAGTTGATCCAAAGCATATGGAGAACTGGAAATCTTCCATTGATGCATGGATCGAGCGCCTTCTGCTGCTCGTTTCAAGTAAAATGGTAACCACTAAAGACATCTTAGACTACCCATACGTTTATTTTTACTTTGATATTTGTAGTATCGCACCAAAGGCCCGTGTTTCTGTTATTGGTTAAGTAATCACTTGAATATATGTTTATTTAGCTATATATTTTTCGTGCTCTAGCCAGATAAATGTTGGGCAGGAATCTGTTTGCTAGGCCTGACTTGTCAGGAGTGCAGCTCTGATCGTTTTCTGGCATCGTACTCTGTTTGGTTCCAGAAACTTCTTGCACAAATTCAGGTTTTGTAAATTAACTTTTATCTTTATTTCTGTTGCAAATATATTCAGGTTATTGTTGTGTGCAACTCAACTCAACTAAGCATTGTCCCAGTTAAATGGGTTCGAGTTTCACCATTCCTGTCTGTTTAGTGCAATATCCATTGTTAAAATATGGGCCCTTAATCGTTTCTTGCCACTTCAACCGGATGCCCTTTTTGGCCTGCACATATCTCTTATAGACCCTTCAATCTGTAATAGACCACTTATCTTTAGCAGTGAAGATGGTCTTATTTGTGTGTGACAAAACCATGTTGTTATGTGAATCAAACTAAAATGTTTTTTAAGTGGATTTTTTGGTATCTAATTATCTGGAGATTTCAATTAGTAAGAAAGTTCATAATTTTTTGGTTTACATAGTAATGTCAATGCTGGACTTTTTTTGAAAGAAATGTAGGCACAACCTGTTGCAAAAGAATACATAATAATTCCTACAAAGTATGAAAATCCTAAACTCGACTTCCTTATCCTTTATTACTAATAAAGTATAAATTATTTTTTTTTGATAGATAAAAATTCAATTGATTTCATTAGAAGCAAATGATAAAGAGTCTGTTACAAGCATCCCAATATGAGGTGCGAGATGCAGCCTCACTCATTAATACAGAAACATCGTAAAATTACAAGTGGGCCTAGTACAACTGATCCCTGGTTACTCCTTTTTTAGCTAGGGAATCAGCAAAAGCATTTGCCTCCCTCCCCACCCATTGTATATTTACATCCATCTGCTGAGTTATCCATTTGAATTTCTTCATTTCAATTCTATAAGCTCAAATCACTTAATCTGGGCAACCCACCACCACCTTGGAGTCCCCTTCTATCACCAAATTTTCCAATCCTAACTCTCTTTCAATCTGTACGCCTTGTAGGGCTGCGTATTTTGCCTTTAAGGAGTCTCCATTCCCCTTCGGTCTTGAGAAGAGTGCTCTTAAATTTCCTTCATTGTCTTTGATGACCCCTCCTATTCTGGCTGGGCCTGGGTTGCCTTGACTACTCCCATCGAAGTTCAGTTTAAAAAATCCTTCAATGGGAGATGTCCAAGCCAACCTTGCCTTAACCTTCTGCACTAAGCTAGAAGTCACTAAAGGCCAATTCCTCTAAATATCATCAAATGTGAAATTTTTGAATAGTTCCAAACGTTTGTAGCCTGTGTATAACCATAGTCATTACACACTCCATAATTTGTTGTTTGCTCCTTTTTTTCTCTGGAAAATTTTGACATTTCTCTCTTCCCACAAGGTCCACACCATTGCTGCTCTAGTGTACCTCCACATTATTCTTCCCCTCTTCTTCGGTAAAGCAAAGGTAGATGGGTCAAACAACATTTTTATCTCCGTTGGCATATTCCACCTGCACCCAAACAAAGAGAAAAACCAGTCCCATATATCTGTAGCAAATGAATAGGAAATTAGTAAATGGTAACAAGATTCACCATCAGATTTGCGTAGAGTGCACCAATTCGGGGAATACACAGAAAATGCCTATTTTTTTGCAAATAATCCAGAGTGTTAATTTTCCCAAGAGCCACTTCCCAATAGAAGGCCTAAATTTTAGGGGTAATTAGTTGAAACCACACTTCTTTCAAGGAAAGGACAGAGAGGAAGGGGACTGACAAAGAGCTTTAAAAAAGGAAGCACAAGAAAAGGAGCCTTTAGAGCTTGGGAACCAAACTCTTCTATTTGGACAAGGAAGCTCTAAGCAGACACTATTAATAAGAAGGAGAAGCTCTGATAGACAAGTTGCTTCCTCATCCCTCAAACCCCTTTGAAATCCAAGATCCCAATTAAGACTCAAAGGCAAAGAAGGAAGAACAAGAAAATTTGAAATGACCTTATTTTTATACAAAGAAATAGAATACAAAGAAGGAAACACCTCCTTTAAAGGCCGGTCACCAAACCAAGTGTCTTCTTAGAACCGAATTAAATTCCCTGAGCCAATATCATACTTGATTTTACCTTGGAAATTGAGGGAGGAGGCTATGGATTGCTTTCCAAGGTGTTGCCAAGGTAGCTCAACGTGATGCACTAGCGTCCCAGCCATTCTTCAATCTACCATGTATGCTTGCCACTACCTGAACCCACAAATTTTCTCTCTCAGGAGGCCATCGCCATAACCATTTCCCTAACAGAGCTGTATTCTTCTTCCTTACATTCCCTAGACTTAAACCACCTTCTTCCTTTCTTTTACACACAATCTCATAGTTTATTAAGTGGTCCTTCTAGTCTCTCCCGGCTCCCAAAGGAAATCCCTCATAATTTTTTCTAATTTATTTTCTTCTCTTGGTCGAATCCTAAAAACAAAGAGGAAATAGATGGGTAGGTTAGCCAAAGTTGATTTTATCAGAGTGATCCTACCTCCCAAAGAGATATAACTTCTCTTCCAAGCCGCCAATCTCTTTTTACATCTTTCTATAACTGGGTTGCAAAAATTGCTTTCCTTCGGGTTTGCACCTAGAGGAAGCCCTAGGTAGGTCAAAGGCCAAGGGGTGATATGGCATTCTAAGCATTATGCTATCCTATTTAGGACAATCCCCTCCATATTAATCCCTGCTATGCAACTCTTGTCCAAATTGATTTTCAGATTTGACACCTTTTCAAATTTCTTGATTAGATTTTTCAATTTCCTGACTTTTCTGATGTCTCTCCCTTCACAAAGATAATGGTATCATTTGCAAATTGGAGATGAGTAACAAAGTATAAATTATTCATAGAAAAGGGAACGAAAAGTACTGGAAGATTGTTTTGGAAAGTTTATGACCTGATCACATTGCTTTTTTTGGATACTCCACTCTTGGTGGGTCACCAGATTGTAGTTGGCTGTCTTGGGTGTTCTTTGGAAGGAGATGTTATCCTTACTTTTACTTGTCAAAATAAAAGTAAATTTTCATCTCTAATAGGGTGTGCAGGACCTCACAGTAGCTAGGGGTGATTGGATCATGATCCGAGCCGAGATCTGATCCTATTTGGTCAAATTCGGATCATCCTTGTTCGGATATTCGGATCAGATTGGATAATAGGATCTGGTCAGAAATTGGATCGGATTCGGATCACCCCTATCCGATTCGAGAAGATCCGATCTGATATATGTTATATATTTATTTATATAAATATATATAATGCATATATATGCTATTTATTTATTTATAAATATATTATTTATATTGCATTTTTATAAATTTGTTATATTATTCATTTTTTATAAAAAACATGTATATGTATGATGAAAATAATAAAAAAATACTTGTATTTTTGTTTTTTCTTTATTTAAATTGGTATATATTAATTTTCTTTTAATAATTAAATAATTTGTTGTTCTCAGTCTTGGATGAGTCTGTAATCTGATTTGTGCTCAGGCAGTCTTTTTGGCCTGGGTTTTGTTGTATTTTCTCCTTTTATGTCTGAATAAATTTACTTTACCTTTCAAAAAAAAAAAAAAAAAGAAAGAAAGAAAACAAGTCGGATCGGATTAGATCCAAAGATCCGACTTACCGATAGGATTCGAATTCAGATTGAGGCCTATCAGATCCGATCGGATCTGCCATGAACGGTGTCGGATTGGATTTACATATACCCTGATTCGAATCTGATCCGATCTGTTTGCATCCTTTACTAGCTGACCATCCATCACTTGCTATCAAGAAACGGCCCTCCACTGCTATACTCTAAACATCAAAAGATTTCGAGTACTGACAACCTGAGCTCTTCAGGTAAAGACAGTCCCTAGATTTATATAGACTTCACTACTCCAAAGGCTATGCAGAACTGTAGAAGAGTGCCTCATCAGTTATAACCTTCAACCCCTCCTTAAGGTGAGACACCTTTAAAAGACGGGGGATTGGGTTTCCATATCAATCATATGGACATCGATCTCTTACAATTGGATTATTGAGCACTTTCTGAAAATTTCCACAATCTTTAGCTTGCAAATAGCTTTGATTGTGATCAAGTTAATGACTTCCTTTAGATGTTTCTGTTGAAGAAAATTGTAGAAATTCTCTCCCAAATATTTCATAATATAGTTTAGATGATTCATCTTCACATGAGCCTGCCCTTTTTGCTGAAAATGGCAGTGTGGCAACTACAAGGCAAGTCAATAGTTTTCTCAGAAGTGGTTCCCTGTTTCATCAAATGCCATATTGAGCAATAGAATGCTTCAAGATTGAGGAGGCAAATGAAAAATGAATGGACGGAATTATTTGCCTGTTGTCTTTTTTAGCTAGACACATGGAGGCTGGAGCAAGGGTACAGAGAGATTTCTAGAGCTTACATCTTCTCTTTAGAGTATCACAAGTATGCATCTTCAATTCATTCATTATTCCCATGGATAACTCTACTGTGCTCCATTAGAACCAAGTCACCAACATGAAAGTGGGGCCCTATAAACTAAGTTGAAGGCTAATTTTTTGGTGATAAATAAAAAAGAAAAATAAAAGTTGCACCCTGGGTAAAATCACTCCAGCTCTTTCAAAATTTCTCAATTACTGATATAGTAAGAGCATGGAATGAAGTGGCACTCTATAGGAAACCCCAGGTCCCAAGAAGAAAGAAAGGTGATGGAGTGGAAGCCCCCAGGTCCCAACAAAGCTGAACTTTGAAGGGAACTCTATAGGAAACCCAGTTATGGCAGGCATTAGTGGTGTGATCCATGGTTCAAAATATTGATACAGCTCAATACGTTGATAGGGGTGTATTGTACTGTATTGGGGCTCACTCCCTTATTTTTTTTAAACCTGGTTCAGAGGGGTCGGTTTAAGGCCTATCTACCCCTGAACCGGGTTAAACCCCGAAACACCCCCTATAAGGTGTATAGGGAAGCACTTGATACGATACATATCGTCTGATACGGCCCGATACGCGTTGAAATTTTGAACCTTGGTGTGATCAGAGATTCCTTAAGCAAAGTATTGCCTATGTACTCAGACCTTTAGGGGAAGGTGATTCTTTAAAAGATGAACTACTGGCTCTGCTACATTGGTTAAAAGTTGCCAAGCAAGCAGATCTTAAGAACTTGGAGATAGAAGGGGACTCAAAAATAGTGATGTCTTGGACCAATTCAGGTGGTAATGTTCCCTGGATCTATAGACATCCGTTAAGGGAGATGGTAAGCATAGCAAGAGGGAACTTAATGCCTCGTTCACATGGATCAGGAGAACTGCAAATGGAATGGTTGATTCTCTATATTTAATTCTCTTAGTGTAACAATTTCTGGTGCAATGTTTGCTTACTTACTGCTGTAATTCTGTATTTAATTCTCTTAATTGAATAAAATTCTCATTTTTCTGATAAGAAAAAAAGAAAAATTTCATTAAAGAAGAAGAAAGTACAATAAGGTGACAAGACATCACCCACAAAATTTCAAAACCCAAGACCCTCCAGCTCCCTTTTAATATAAAATTTTCCTTCCCCACTTTTACAAACACAAACAAGACTCACTAAGAAAACCCAAAATACTTCACCCAGTAGGCCCCCTTAAGATCCCCAAATCAACAACAATCCTAATAATTTTCACCATTCAGGTCTCTCTTTAAAGCTTTATTCGTTCAAGGGATGCTTCTTTTCCAAATCCTGGAACATTTTTCTCGCAAATTCTTCCCTTCCTAATATAGATAACCCTAACATCTTGCTTACTTGGACTTCAGTTTCTTTCTCACTTGATCCATAACCACGTTCTCTTCTTCCTCCCCCCTTCTGATTTTTCTTCTGCCAATTCATTCTCTATCACCACTTATAAAAAACATTCTCTATCCCCTGCATCACCTCCCCTCTTGTCATTACATCTTTTTGATGAGCAGAGAGGGTTCCATCTTCTTCTCCTCGGCCCCTTTCTCCACTGTGTTCAAATTACTACTACTTCTATCAAGGATCTGACTATCTGAATTTTATTTCTGCCTTTTTATCCCCTTTCTCTTATATATCCTTTTGTACTTACTGCAAGGACCATCTCCTAAGAGATAGTCTATCTGGGTTCTCAAAAGCTTTGATGACCAAGATCCAGTCTAAAACCATTGAGCTGATGTGCATACATAACCATCGGAATGGGAAAGAATCTTGAAATACTAAATGATTTCTTTCTTTCTATCCTCTGGCTAACTGTTAATGGAATTACGCTCCAACACATCTTGGCCAAGTCACTATCTTCCTTTCTAGGTCAGCTATTAAAGAGTTCTTCAATATTGTTTGAGTTGAACTAGCCCTTTTGTTATTGATTTGCACAATAGCCTTGGGATTTGAAAGAATCTTGAAAAGCTGAATGACTTCTATCTATCCCTTGACCAACTGTAAATGGAATTACACTCCAACACATCTTGGCCCTACCCTCCTTTTTGGCCACCTTTCAAAGATTTAATTAGTGTTGTTTGAGTTGAATCAACCCCCTCTGAATAAGGAGAACAGAGATTTGAAGGGTTAAATACCACTTGAAAAGTAACGAGTAAATGTATTCTATAAGTGTATTTTCCTTGTTACATATGAAGAACCTACTTGCCATTTCTTTAGATGATTTACTGAATGCTATTCTAAGATTTTAGCTAGGCAAAGAACCTCGATTGTTTCAGTATGTACTATATGAGATATTAAGACCCCTCAAATTCCATATTTAGTTTCTTCAATCACTATTTGCTTGTCTAGGAATTTTTCTCATTTCAAGAATTTCTGCAATATTTACTTGTATGCGTTTAATCTCCCTTCGAAAAAAAAAAACCTCCCTTCTGTTTCTTGCAAAATTTTCATCTTTTATGTATAAAATTTGTTCTAAGTGCTTATTTTCTTAATCATGATCTGTTTGATTAAAACTTGAATACTTGTGTCTTAAGCAGCCTCCATCAGATTCTCATTTTGTTAAGGTTGCTTCTTGTGCGTCCTTGGCAGATCTTTTCACAAGGTTTGACTTTGTTCCTTGAGTGGAAGCATAATTTCTCGGTGGATCTCTCTCATACATCTAGTTTTGCAGTTGGTAACAAACCTGTAGTGACAATTATAAATGTCTGGCCTTTGCATCTGCCTACATGCCAGGCAATGCTTCACATGCATGAGAATGCCTGGTCATTTGTGAATTTGGGCCAGGGGATTCACCTTAGAATGTAAAATGACTCATTTATCTATTATCAAGTTACTAACAGTTAAAAGTGTACTTGCCCTCAGTGGGAATTTCAAAATTCATCTTCTTTTTCCTGTTTGACTGCATTACTTGGAGAATTGTTGTTTGTAAACGTCATAAGATCTTAACTTTTTTTTTTTTTTTTTCATTTGGTTTACTATTGACATTAGGCTAAGTGGATTTTCAAATATAAAGAAAGATGTGACATCTCATGCTGGAAAACTTATTCAACCAGTTTTGAAGTTGCTGACTGATGATAGCTCAGGTGCTGTATGGGTTAGTATCTAGTTGAATATATCCTCTTCTTCTCATCAGTCACATAGGAAAGACTTTAATTAATAACACATATGACACACCAGGATTTTGTAGAAATGGGAGATACCCACCTCATTGGGGGTGGTGGGGGGTTCAAGCCAAATAGATGGTTGTACCCCTTTTCCAGGAATTTGCTAAGGAGTCTCCAGACTTTTGAATGCAGTAGAAAGAAGATATTTTTGCAAGTTCAAATTAAATATTCATGGCAACTTTAAAATGTGGTTTATTGGTTTGTCTGCATGTTTTCTCTCTTATCCCCTACTCTCCCTCTTTCTTACTTAGTGTATGTTTCTTATACTCAAGGCCTTTGAGGTCGGGGAAATCTTATGCCTTTCTTTTGATATCTTAGTTAGAAGGTTTATTTATTTATTTTTACCCTAGACATTGTACAGGGACAGTGTCAACATTTTTTACGTATTTTTTTGTTTATCCATTTGCCTTCATAATAGCCTAATACATAATATTTCCATCATTTTAAGCTCTTTCAGTTCATCTTTCATTCACTTTGGTTATTTTTACAGGAAGGAGCAGTTGATTTGTTATGCAGCATTATAAATTTCTTTCCGTCTTCTGTCCATCGTCATTATGAAAGTGTGAGTTCTATTTGTCCTTAACTTTTTTTTGATCAATAATTCTATTTCTATTTGTCCTTATCCCGACTACACTCTTAGTTATGTTGTTATGTTTAACAAAGTACTTTAGAACCTTGACTTAATGTGGCTTTCCTGCATTTGTTTATCCATAAATCATGAAATAATATTACTTCTACAACCTGTTTCCCCAACCGAGATCATTCACTAGCTTACATAATGATTGGCTAGTAGCTTGGCTTCTAGTCCTTTTAGCTCATTTGAGAAACTACCTCCCAACTCTCTCAGTTGAGGGTTCTTGAGTATCAATTAGAAAGGCTAAACCTAAACATCATTTCTCTATTTTCCTCATTTTTCACATGCTGTGTTTCCTATGTAAGAGAGAGTGGAGCCAATCAGTTCTCACTTGGTTGTTCTTTCACTAGAAAAGTGTTCTTTCACAGTCGGAGATTGCAGAGAAAGAATGTTTTAGTATATCCAGATTCAATGGGATACAGGGATCCATTAATGGGCAGAACTATTAGCTTTTCTCTATATCTTGAGATAGGTGCTCTTTGGGCCTTCAAAGGTTGAAAGTAGAGGGGAATTCTGCTGGTGGTGACTGGATGGATGAAGGTTGAGGAGGATGTCCCATGGATTTTGAGGTGTCAAAGTTCACTAGAATTCCTATGGTTTATAGTTTTTTTTTTAATTTTTAATTTTTTATAACTAGCAAATGTGCCCATGCTTTGCATGGGGCAATTTTAGATGACGATGATATAAAAAATATGTATATGTTTTTACTTTAATGAAATACTTTACCATTCTCTAAAAGAATAATCGTAATAATATGTATCCAAAAATTCCACATTTTTTTTTATATTTGCGTATAAGAAATAATTGTTATTCATCACACTTATTTTCATTTTATGTGATGAATATATAATAATAAGACACTTAAATATTTTCTACAAAATTTCTGTATTTTTTTATATTTTGTGTTTTCATCTTTTTTTTTTTTTATAATTTTGATCATTTAATTTTGAAGGGTTGACACCTTTCATCCAAAAGGTTGAACTATTGGCCCACCATCAACTAGGAAAATATTTTTATTTTTGAGTTGATTTTTTTTGATCAGCAAATATGTATTTTATTAAGATTCAGATTGTAAGCAGTTTATACAACTTGATGATTGGACTGTTGATCCCCTTTAACCACTCTATTCACCCCTCTTTACAGTGTAGCCCAAAATAATTGCTGTCTCAATGCCCCCTGTTTTGATAATCCATCAGCTAGTCCATTTGCACTTCTTCAGATCCATTTTAAATTCAGCCTCAACCTCCTTTGCAATCTTCTCCACTTCCCTAATCACATGTTTAAACGTCCATGGGGTGTGGCTGCTATTTGTTGCCCATGAAATTACTACTTTTGAGTCCCCTTCCTCATTTTTGAGTTGATTTTAAATTTTACAGTTCAGTTTTTTGATAATTCTAAAATTTACAATTCATTCCATCATCGGTAAAAATAATTATTGTTTATCACACTTATTTTTCTTTAATGTGATTAATATAAAATATTAGAAATGAGTCCAATATTTTTTGTAATTATTGTTTATATTTCTGTTTTAAAAATTATTATTTAACTATCAAGCTTGACCCATTTGACCTGGATGGTTGAGTTGCATACTGTCCACTTGGGCGGAATAATGGTTTTGTTTTTGGGTTGGTTTTAAGAGATATGGGCTTTATTATTGTTAAGAGTATTGGTAGAGATCAAATTAGTAGAATTTATTGGTAAGAAAAATACCTTAAATATAGGATTTAATGATAGAGAATGGGAGTTAATACCTTAAATATAAAACTTAAAGAGAGGGGATTGAATGAAATGAAAAAAAATTACATTTTCAGTCCTCACAATTAGAGAGGGACCAAATTCAAAAATAGGTTATTTTAGTCAAGAAGAAAAGTAGCACAAACTCATTCATACTTTTGACATATTCCATTTAGATGATCCATGATAGTCAAAGAAGTTCCATAATTTCTCCATATCATATCATGCTTCATATTTGGAAATATTACAACAAAGGGGCTTAAATACTGAGGAGTGAGTGTACTCACAATTTTATACAAGATATAGCCCTTGTTAGAGTGGAATGGTGGAATAAGATTCATGCAACCAAGAACCAACCCTGTATAGTTGGGACAAGGCTTTATTTATTTAGACTAAGCTGACACACTTTCATCAAAGACAAACAAAATTTGAGGAAGTGGATTAACAAAAAAGATGATGTGCAAAATGGACACCAGAACAGAAAAAAGAAGAGTCCATTGCAATCTGTGCAAGCATATAGTAATATAGTATGCGCAAGTTCCTCTAGCAATGATGCTTCTTAAATTTCCTTGAATGACCTCCCATTTAGCAAGACTATTAGCTCTTGTATATAATTGTACAGGAACCCATCTTGTTACATGTTCACATGCCCAAAGGAGAGGTCTAGTCTCATTCCATCTTGTTACATGGAATTCCCTTCATTCAGATTTGAGGTAGGCTTTCTAGATTCCTTAAGCCCAAATCATGTTGCCTTTCCTACTAGTTATGATGCCACTTAACCCCAAGGGCACCAGATTTCTGAGTTGCCATCATATCTAAGGCGGATCTCCTCATTGAATTGTTCTACAATTATTACACCCATGGATCTTGGGCTGGTTTCAATGAAGAATTGAAGATCTAGAATCTGAGGTAGATGAGATGAGACAGATATAGTGTAGCAGTCCACAATAGAAAGGTGACCTTTGAGGGCAAGGTTCAAAGTATTGGAAACACCAAGTGTCTTAGAAAGGAAATTTTAAGAGACATATTGGGATATGCCTTCGATATACGTGTATCGGAGAAAAATTAAGATACACATGGAAACATTATAAATACTTCAATAAATCATAAAAGTACACCAATAACATTAAATCTAAGGCCTCAATGAGGTATACATGCATTAAATTAATATATTTTAATGGGTTTTATGAAGAAATACATCTTAGTTAATTATATTTTCCATTAAAACATCCTGTGCTTAACTATAATTTATAAATTATAATTCTTTAGTTTTAAGGGATGGGAAAAGTCCATGTCCAACAATCCTATCCAACCATAAAGCATGCATTGGTGCAACTTCTAAGTGAAAATATAAATAATAATTATTTCTTAGTTAAATAATTACTATCTTTTTTTTTTTAATTCCAAAAATATAAAAATTAAAAATAAACAAACATTGTACAATATATTCACAAAATAATTAGTAATGAAGAAATTTAATTACTCTGTGGATACGATAGATCATTCATAGATTTATAATATATTCAACCCTTATGATTAGATCATAAAAATATAATTCATTATTTTTAATTTTAAAATATAAAAAATGAAAAATAATTATTGAAAAGGAAATTTCAATTGCTCTATGGATGTGAAAGATCATTCATAGATCTACAACCAATGTTCAGAGAACTAGATCGGGCATAGAACCAGAGAAGGGAGAGGTTCACGGGTCAGAGGTTCAACTGGGGTCGAACTGTGATGACATGGCATATACATATAAATATATATATATATATATATGTATATTATATATATATATATAATGTATATATATACTATGGGTCATATAAATACTATATATAATGTATTTTACAATTTTTAATGTGCTTAAATATGGTGGATGGATGGTAAGCTACTTAATTTTTAAAACAAATTGACTAGGGTTCAAGCCTTTTAACTTACATTTTCTTTAAAATACATGCATAATAATGTAATATGTACAATAAATAGTCATTAATTAGTATAAGTAAAGAGGTGGATTAGTGGTAATTAAGTAATCTATGAAAATAAGAGGGTCTTGCGTTCAAATCTTGTTAACAACATTTTAAAATTTCACTTATGTATGGACCCAAGCGGTTTCATGAAACAGGGACCGGTTCACCGGGTTTTTGGTTAAACTAGTTGGCTAGCCGATTTTCAGCGGGTTTTGAGCAAGTCTGGTTATTGGGGTGTGATCAAACCAGTTAGGACCCTGGGTCACGGTTCGACCGGTTTGACTGGTCTGGTTTTCTAAACACTGTCTATAACATACATTGTCTTTATGGGAAAATTACAAGAAACTATAAATAATCAAGATTTATTACTTAATTCCAAAAATTACAAAAAATATTGTACAAGAAATTCCATAGATCTAAAACATATTAAGTCTTTATAGCAGATAAAAAATACATTTTCTATTTTTTGTTATCTTATATTTTTTTTCTGAAATTTATTTATAAAATTTCCATAGATCTACTCATAACACTAAAGAAGCGGTGGTTTTTAATACAAGAAATGTAGATCAACATAGATTTAAACATTTTCAAGCATTTAGGCAAAAAAAAAAAAAGAAATCATAAAATGTTATGAGAAAAATTGAAAAAACTTCTATTTTTGCAATATTTTCTAAAACTTGAGAAATTTTCAACCTTGATGATTCACACTTATTTCTTGTGTGTGCGTGCGTGTGTTTTGCAGATATATCACTCTAGGAATGAGGTTTTGAGTTTTAGAGTCGTTTGGGGTTGAAAAAATTCTTGTTTTGGGAGAAAGACGATATGGTGGAAAAAGACGGTACCACCTATTTCCCATCGTATCCTTTATCGAGCCTTCATAGATACGATGTGATCGCCCTGTATCGGGCATATTGTGTTGAAATTTAAACCTTGTTCGAGGGTACTACTTTCAGCCAGATGTTTGATATGGGAATTCTTCTGCCTGTGTCGAGTTCAATTTCTAGAAAAACAATTTAACTGAAAGAGATGATATTTCATTTTCTTAGTATTCCCTCTGGTGGAAGTTGTATGCCACTTTAATATTTTTTACATAGGGGTTTCCAACTTCCAACAAATTTTCCCATTTGTGAAGGAGTGAAATTCTAAACCCTAGGCTGTCCATGGGGTTGTGGACCCCAATTTGAAAAAAAATTCTCCTCTTTACTTTTTTTTTTTTTATTTCTCCTCTTCTTGCATGAGTCTGTCTCCATATGTTACTCATCAAAGGAGAACCAAAAAACAAAGAATTAAGTTTTCTGAGGTCTCTTTTTCTTTTTGTTAGATTTATATCTAAATTACTTTGATATGCGTAAACGAGTTGTTTTCCATAAAAATTAAAAAAATGACAAAATAGAAAGTAAGGAAGAAGGAACTTTAGGCAACCATGGGCAATCTGGTACTCTTTATATAAAATGAAGTCAATTGATCTTGTTTTTGCTGGGTCTGTAACAGTTCAACATGTTCTTTGAAGGTCATCAAAGTTGTTTAGGTAACAACTACATGCTAAGAATATCATGTAATATCTCTGGTAGGTTGAAGCTGCTATTGTTTCAAAAATCATGTCAGGAAAATGCGATTCAAACATATCAAAGGTGAGTAGTTTGCTCGCAATCTTAAGCATTTATTCATTGTAATATTCACAGACACATTGGACGAAGCAGTGTTGCATGGACTTATAAATGAATGACATATGATATCTATGTTTGAAGCATGTATACTGACACTCCATGGATTCTTGAGGGGCACTTCTATGTAAATGATGTAGTTTCCATTTTTTATCCCCTCATTTATTTGACATAAATGATGTACAAGATGAATGTTACTTTTCGTATTTGTTCTTGTTGGGGTTCATGTTCCCTAAGTCCAAGGCTAGAACCTGTGTACCAATCATTAATTTTATGTTATTTTTTAATCGATATCTGAACCAATTCATTAGATGATTAAGAAGAAAAAGGTACAACCAGTGATTTAAAAGGCGTGCCTCAGGCGTGCCTAGGTGCACAGGCGAGGCGCATTTCAGGGTATGCACCTCGCCTAGGTCCTAGGCACAGCCCTTTCAAAAGGCGCACGCTTGGTGGGCCTAGGTGTGCGCCTGACACGCCTCAGCCCAGGCGTGCACCTTTTGAAAATTTGACGCTTTTTTGCTTTTTTTGAACCCCCAATTTGGTAATGTTGTTCATTCATTCATCCTAATAAAACATCTTCTTAAAAAGTAATTAAAACGAAAATCATCGTTTTTTTGTGTGAAGAGTAGGAATTTAAGACCTAATGTGGACTTGTTTGGGCTTGCCTCGAGGGGCATGGCACAAAGGAGGCTCGTAAAATCAGGAACGTAATATGTTTTACATTACATTAGCTACTTGAAGTAATGCAATTGAGTGAAAAAAGAGATTAGAGGTTTTACATGCTTGAAAATGTTTTANTTACATGCTTGAAAATGTTTTATATGTTTGATTTTATTTTTAAATTCTCATTTGAATATGCTTTACATCTTATGTTTATGTATTTTAATTTTAGATAATAGGTTTTCTAAAACATTATTTTAAAATTTAAGTTTATATTTTTTATTAATATTATGTTTAATATTTATTTTAGTTTTTTTTTGAATTTTTTGTATTTTTTAGCATTTTTTTTGTATTTTTGCGCCTTGGGCCTCAGGCACAAATTGACCCTTGCGCCTTTTTTGCACCTTGTGCTTTTAAAACACTGGGTACAACAAGAAACAAAGAACAGGGCACCAAAAACCAACTTGCAATAGAGCCCAAAACAAGGTACCCTTTCCCACCCTTCCTTCTTTAGCAAGTACATCAACAAAGGAGTTTGCACTTCGCTTTACACATTGAAGTCTCACTTCCATATTCTGTGTCAGCCATATAAATCTTCTTTTTTCATTAATATAACTCCAGAACCATTTTCCTCTTGTTGCATCCAATTAATTACTAGCTTGGAGTCACCCTCAACAACTATCCTTCTAATATTTAGCTCCTTTGCCCTTTGTACTCCTTCCTAGACAGCCATAATCTCTGCTCTGAGTGAATCACATTTACCTATTGGCCCAAAGAATAATGTACCAAATTTTCTTTCTTCATTTCTGAATACACCTCCAATACCTGAAGGACCCAGATTACCCTCGCTACTTCTATCAAAATTCAGCTTAATGAAACCTTCCACTGGTGGGGACGAAAGAGGCCTGAAAATATCCTTAGCAGGACTTTAGGAGCTGAATCAACCACCTTTTTTTTCCAATTTCCAAGTAGTGCATCTGTAGATATGCCTTCAAACAGCTCTAAAGATTTTACCCACTGCAACACTTTCATGGAAATAACTTCAATTAGAGCTTCTCTACTTATCCCTTTTTCAGAAAAAAATACTCAAGTTCCTTTCTTCCCAAATTGTCCAGCAAACAACTGCTCTAGTATACCTCTAAAGTATTTGGCCCCTCTTCTATGGGCGCTTAACAAAAGAAGTAAACAAACTTTGTATATCCGGTAGGGAAGTCCATCTATCATTAATTTTAATTTTAATCGAAGTTGTTGGTTCCTATAAAAATGTTTTTTTTTTTTTTTCGTATTAAATTTTACCTAGGAGCGTTTTATAACATTGAACCAACACCTGACCTCTTGAAAATTCACTTTTTAGAGTTTTTTGGTCGTTTGGTGTCATCTCTAAAGAAACCTCTTACCTCCTAAAATGTATCTGAATCATTTAGAAATGTTTTTCATAGGTCCAAATGACGATCATCTCCTCTCACTATTCTGACAATGACAACATTTGTTCAATTTAAACAATGTCTCTATTTGAGCCCTAATTCTTCTTTCTCTTATTTTTTAACTTCATTTTTTTCATTTGAAATATTATAAATATGTTGTTATTTTATAATCTATTTTGAAATATATTTCAAACAATTTAAAATATGTTTTCTAATATGTGTTTTTATTTTCTAAAATAATTTGTATTATTTTATATTTTAAATTTATAAATATAACTTATGATTTTATTTATTTTTTATTACTTCTACATTTCCATTTACCTATGGTTTTAATCACATTTGGTATCATATTTCTTTATTGTTATTAATATTTTTAAACACTAGTAAGTGTGCACGTGCTTTGTACGTGGCAATTCTAGATGATGATAATGATAGTAATAATGTATCCAGAATTTTCTATAAAATTCATTTTATTTTTTTATTATTTTTTTGTTCATATTGCAAAATCCAAATCCAATTACGTAACACCTCATATTGGGTTGCAAAGTTTCGAGTATCATTGATAGGCCTACATGCCATCTGGACTCTTCCTTTCGTAATGTTTTATCTTCTTAGTGTATCTTTTCTTGTTCATTTATCAAAAAAAATGTTAAGATTTAAAGAAGGGAATTGAAGGAGGTGAAAAGTAGTAGTTCAAATTACATTTTAAATAGAGATAAATTAAAAAAGGGTATTTTAGTCAAAAGAAAGTTCCACAATCTTATTCATATTTTTAATAGTAGTGTAAATATAGAATTATAGATGTGTTAAATTTTTTCAAATTTTTTTTTTTTATTTCTGTGTACAAATAATTTTGATGTCACATTTTTTTTGTTTAATATGATAAACGTACGATATTATACATGTGCCCAAATGTTTTTTGTAAACTTTATGTTTTTTTCATTGTTGTTTTTTATAGTTTTTTAATTATTTATTATTTAATTATGACATTAAAGGTTGACGCATTTGACCTAAAAGTTGAACTATTGATCTCCATTGAATAGGAAAATAATTTCAGTTTTGGTGTTTTAGATTATGTATTTCATTTTCATCATTAATAAAAATAATTCTTGTTTGTTATACTTATTTTTTTTTTAATTTGATTAATAAAAATATCATAAAAGTGTACTTTTTTTTACATTTTTGTAATTTTCTATATTTATTTCTGTCAAAAAATTTTATTATCTGACTATGACTTCATGGGTTGACCAATTTGATTCGGATGGTTGAATTGCTTAGTCATCACTTTGATAAAGAGTGGTTTTGTTTTTGAGTTAATTTTAAAATGCATGGGTTTATATTGTTAAAAAGTATTGGACATAGATCTATTAATAGCATTTATGAGTGAAAAAATAACTTAAATATAAGATTTAATAAGAGAGAATGAGAGTTAATACCTTAAATATAAGACTTAATGAGAGGGGATTAAATGGGGTGATAAAACAATAATTGAAATTGTATTTTCAACCATCATAATTAGAGATGGACTAAACACACAAATATGAGCATTTTAGTCAAGAAAAGTTCCACACTCTCATTTGTACTTTTAATGATAGTATAGATTTCAAAATATAATTATTATATTTTATATCATCATCATCATCCATGCCTTGTGCCAACTATATGGGGTCGACTACATGAATCCTGTTTTGTGAATCCATTCTATTCAACACCCTATCAACTGTTACATTAGTAGTGCTAAATCATTTGGTACTACTTCTACCCATGTTCTCTTTGGTCGACCTCAAGCTCTTTTAGCCTCTTCAATATGTAACAAATCACTTTTTCTAAGTGGCACAATTGGTTGTCTTTTATGTACGTGCCCAAACCATCGTAGTCTACTCTCTCATTTTATCACCTATTGGAGCTACTATTAGGTTCTTATGGATAACTTCATTTCTAATCCTATTCTTTGTAGTTTTCCCACTCATCCATCTTATTATTTGCATTTCTGCCACTCATTTTTTTTTGGCATAGTGTTTCTTGACTGCCCAACACAACACTTTGCTCCATACAACATAGCTGGCCTTACAACTGTTTTATATAGAATTTTCCTTGAATCTAAGTGGTATTCGCCTATCACATAATAGTCTAGATGCACTCCTCAATTTTGCTCCTCCTGCTCTAATTCTTTGGGTCACATCCTCAATCTCACCATTATTATTAATTATTGAACAAAGGTACGAAAAATGATCACATTGAGTCATCTTTTGGCCTTCTTGATTTACACTCCTGTAATATACTTGTTAATGTCGACTATGTAGGGGTATTTTTGTCTTTATGCTTATGTTTAAGTTGCTGATGTGTAAGGTTATGTTAGATCTTATGTCCCTCACTTAAGTAGGGGCACAAGTGTCATTTCCAGATTAATAGAAATATAAAAACAAATCTGGCCGAATGGGAGAGTAGACTTTTCTCTCTTGTTCGACCAGAACTTTCTCTCCCTCTCTTCTCTTCTTCTTCTCTCTCTCTCTCTCTCTCTCTTTCTTTTACTTGTATTGTTATCAGTCAAACAGGATTCAAGGGCAGGCTGAATCCTAATATGGTATCAAAGAAAAACTAAGCAAATCGAAGCTGCCCAGAATTCTGTTCTTTGCATACCCAGTCTAGGGTTTTCTCTTGTTTTCTTTGCCAACAGTTGGAGATAAGGGAAAGGGTTGAAAAGGAGTGATCGCCCTCTTCCCTTGGAGGTTTCTATGCCTCCAATTGTGCAGTTTGTGGTTGGTTGCTGTGGTTTGTAAGAAGCCCTCCCCTAATCGATGAAGAGAAGAGGGCTGATTCGTGTGGTGCAGTGGGTGCCTTGTGTGGTCTGATTTTCGGGTGATTAGGTAAGAGGTTTCTATG